CAATGTTGGTGCTCTTGCAAAAACGAGAACAGGCAGAGTAGTCTATTCATTGAATCTGGGTCTCTTCACCTTGAATTCAGCGAGCGTTGTGTTCTTGTATTGTCCACCTCCATGCAGATTAATGAAGTGTTCTCTTAGTTGTGCCGATGCTAGACTAGAATTGCTCAACTTGGCATTGCAAAACATGCAGTTAGGACGCTGACTCACATCACGTTCCGTTATATGTGTGAATCAATATTATACATATTCGTCCGACCAATTTCTCTTTTTGCTCGACATAGTTTGTATGAAGGGATTAAAATATTAAGAAAGAAATCACACGACATACCATCACGACAGTCACAAGTCGACTACTGGGCCACGATATAAAAATAAAAGGTATGCTCAGTCGGTGTACGAACTTCGGTTCGCTCTGCGCATGTTCGTCACAGCACGTGTATACACGATCAACGCGCGCCTGCATAGGTGGCGTTGACACGATTCGTGATGTATGTGTGTCGAGACGTCAAGGGTTCCACGATATAGAAATATCACGATACCGATTCAGTGTTATCCCGCTCTGGTGCACTTTATTACTATGCCGTGGTCGCTAGTTCTATCGTCCGCGCTGCACAAAATCCGATCTCAAATCACATGAGTCGGATGTGTGTCTTGACCTCCGCCGAACCCCTGAGATGACTCATCGAGCCCCTGGAGGTCGATAGAACCCAGGTTAAGAACCACTGGGCTAGATGTTATTACAATAGCTGTCAGGAAAAAAAAACTTCAAAAGAGGAAGCAGGCTTACATTTTCGGGAAAATGAAAACTCGGAAGTTGATGGTGAGATTAAGTTGTTGGTTTATTTTGTTTGTTTTTAGAATTGTTTAAGAAGAACTATTTTCAAAATGGGATAGGGACCGAAATACTTGAGAGACACCATTCAAGACAAATTGCATCCTCTTTAAATGTATGCATTTAAACGCGTTGGGTCTTCATCATTCTGAAATGGTGCACCGCTGGTCAACTTAAGAAAACTTCAGTGACAAGACTGTATATATTCTGGTACATTTTGTTACACACAATTTCTATATAGTTTTATGTATTTTCCATTGTCCAAGAAGAAAAAATACATTTATTTTTTAAACTTATGCCTTTAATTTAATTTAAATCTAGGCAAATAAGTTTTATTATAAAGTATTTCAATTTGTTTTTTTTACTTTTACGCTTCTAAACTAAGTTTTCATATTTGATGAACTTTTGATTGATGTTACTGTTCTTTTTGTCAAGGCTTAATATTCAGCTGGAGGGTGATTACAAGGGTAAAAAACTGGAGTCCGTGATAGATATGGATGGCGAAACATATACTGTTGACTTTGAAAAAAAAGTAATTACCCATAAAGTAACTGGTTCGATCATGGTTCTGAATCGAAGAGATGCACTGGAAGGTAAGACGCATTATATAATGTCTTAATTATATTTTCTTTTTAAAAATTATTTCAGCAGCTAGTAGTAATTGTAAACGATTATCTACTGCACATTCACACAAATGCATAGAAATTCATAGAAATGAGTTTGTGCGTAATATGAATACTTGATTTTCCAATAGTGGTAAAATTAAATCCGTTTTTACCTTTATTTAAACTCTATTATGTTATATTTTTAATAGGCCTCCCACAAGATATAAATGATATAAAATGAATTCATTTGAAATGCCCCCGCTTGTTTCGTTTAAATTTCTCAAGACTTTAAATACTCATTATCTTTAAGCCGGTGAGCCTATCCCCAAGCACTGGGAGGAGATGTCTCTTGATGAGCCATTCAAGCTTGTCAGTCTGTCAGCAGATTCCGACGAATACAGAAAAGTTGTTGCAAATTACAGATATCAGAGAGCTAAAGGGAATGTTCATGGCGTAAGTTGAGTGAACGTTTAATATAAGGATTGGTAAAACAGTTGCACTGAAACTTTAACATCAGATTGAGGTTCACTGTTCGTCAGACACTTTGGGGCCGGGCTAGATTTGAAAAATATCAATGAGCTCCCATGCACATAACACATGAGTTATTTGTAGATGACCAAAAAAAAAAAAGAGAAGAAAAAGCATTCATGAAAATAGTTTTTATTCACTACATACGTATGAGAATTTTAATGGGAACATTGGACCTGACTCTGGCTAATTAGAGGGCCATATCGGGATCCTTTTTTGTCACTACTACGGGGGTAATTGTATTGTGACCAGGCTGGCTGGATTCAGGACACCCTGCAGGCCATATTAAGCCCTCGGGCCTTAGATTCGAGAATCCTTATATAAAATAAAAATTTAAAAACAAAAAAAATCAACCTTAATTTATACTGCATATATTAATTTCAATACGCTAGATGTTTTATAATAAAATTCAGTACTGTAGATGTGTAATGACTGAATTCAGTACTGTAAATGTGTAATGACTGAATTCAGTACTGTAGATGTGTAATGACTGAATTCAGTACTGTAAATGTGTAATGACTGAATTCAGTACTGTAAATGTGTAATGACTGAATTCAGTACTGTAGATGTGTAATGACTGAATTCAGTACTGTAAATGTGTAATGACTGAATTCAGTACTGTAAATGTGTAATGACTGAATTCAGTACTGTAAATGTGTAATGACTGAATTCAGTACTGTAAATGTGTAATGACTGAATTCAGTACTGTAAATGTGTAATTACTGAATTCAGTACTGTAAATGTGTAATGACTGAATTCAGTACTGTAAATGTGTAATGACTGAATTCAATACTGACATGTGATGTGGCTGAAATCTCTACTGGAGATGCAGTATGCATTTAAAGTAAATTATTTAGAAAAAGGATTGTAGCATTGAGTCTACTTTGGAACCTCGGATAACGAACTAAATCTGTTAAAGACTCTGTTCTTAAATCGAAACGCTCGTTAACCGAAGTAAGCTTTCCCATTGAATTGAATGTAAACTCTGTTCCAGCCTTAGAAATATGTTGTTTGTTTTTTGTCATTAAACATATAGAATAAAAATGATTTCCCCCTTTCGTTATTATGAGTAATTTTTGGCGCTTCACATACGAAAGTCTGACATGGAGAGAAATTTAATCTCCTATTTAAGGGTATGGCTCGTTCCGAAACAGTGCATAACAAATGACGATACAAAATGATAAAAACAATAACAAAGAATACGATACTCAAAACAGGGCTAATTACGATTAATACGTTTTGTTAAGTTAATAATAAAGTACAAAAGTTAAAAATAAATATAATTAAAAACTATTAACTTACAGTATATTGTGTTGCTGGTACCAGTACAATGTCGAATAAAACACAATGTGCAAAAAAGGTACAAATAACGAAAAGAAGTCTATTGTAAACAAAGCACTCACACGTTCCAAAATAACTCTCTCTCTCTCTCGCTGTCTGTGTCTCCCTCTGGTATACGTGCCACTAGCCTGTATTTATAGTCTATTCCATAGAAGATTCAAGGTCATAATACTCATCGTAATAGTGACACAAACGTTCTACAGTGTTCTACCGCATTTGAGACAATAGATTGATTTTTGGTATACGAGGTCAAAGGGAGTAAGACACGTCCAATAAAAACGCAGGCGAATTGGGGTCAGCTTAAGGTCGTTCACCGGCAAAAGATAAAATAAGAATAACAAGAGAACGCATGTGTATATAACAGCAACACTGATTTCGAGCATGCAATAAAACCCATCAAGGCATTTTGAATTCACCAAATAATTTTTATGGGGACCCCTGTCCCCGCATTTGCTCGAGAGCCTTCAACATCGTTATCCCCCCCCCCTCCCAAAATCCCTCAAACTAATCAATGTGACATTAGGGATACCCTTAGACGACCCACAACCGGAGTGAATTCAGTTTACGAATTGCAATGCATGCCATAAAGACTTCCATCTGTCCCCTTCTACCCTCTTCGCTAAACCTCTGGCCACTGGCACTGCCCAGCCAAAAAATCTGAAATATCACCAATTCCCGGCGAAAATTGTGTGAAATAAAAATTGGTTGCCAGCAACTGGGAAATTATGTTGGCTTCAGATCGACTTTCCTCTGATAAGTTTCAAGCTTCTTGGAGTTTGGAGAGCTTTTCCTATTTGATTCCTCATGAAAAATATTTGTTGAGCTCTTCAGCAGCAAGATTGTCATTTGGATTAACAGCTTTTGTACTGGGTCCGTAACCACACCTAAAATGATCATATGGAAACTTTAGTTTTACCGACATTCCCAGATTCAACAATTGACTCATATGTACGAGACCGAGATCGCGAGACGAGCAAGTTCTTGAAGTATAATGGCACTGCCATTCAAAATAATGGCTTCTTAACTTTGACTCTAACAGGATTCTTATTAATAACACTTCTCTATTTAGAATTTAATGACTCAAAACAGTTTTTAAAATAACAAAATTGTATTTTTTAGAACACAGTACTCATTCAAAATATGTTTCTTGCAAACACGCCAAAGCAATAATGTGTTGGTGACAGTGTATGTACTAGCGTATGCATATGTTCGTAACCCGAAGTAGCTTTCGTTAACCGAGACAAAAATTGTTCACACAACGTGTCCTGTAACCAATTTTTAAATTGAATGGGACGTTTATTATCCAAGGTTCAACTATATTAAAGAATATTCTAAATTCTATATATGAAATTTAATTATTTAAAAATTTTTTTTATCTCTTATATTAATTTATACTCTTTTTGCAATATATATATATATATATATATATATATATATATATATATATATATATATATAAAGCTGTTATATTCTAATGTGACTTCTTATTTCCTCCCTTTCTTTTCTCTATATCTTTTATGTTTTTTTTTTTATATATATATATATATATATATATATATATATATATATATATTTAAAGCTGTTATATGTTAATTTTACTTTTTATTTTTTTTCTTATTTTTCTCGATCTCTTTCATGTTTTTTTTTTTGAATTTCGTTGCCAACCTTAATTGACCCTCATATAATTTTCTTAGATCGAACGGGTCCAAAACAGAGCCTTGTACCAGCAATTCATAGCCAAGAAGAGAGAAATTGATCTGAGAAATCCCAACAACGAAAATGAAAAGCTGCTGTACCATGGTTCAGATTTCAAAGCATTGAATGACATCAACAAAACTGGGTTTAATAGAAGCTATTGTGGAAAAAATGGTAAAACATTTTTAACACTTTGTCGAGTATGCCACGTTAATTCATGTTTTTGTGACGTAGTGTCTAGACTTGTTTGATTGCATGCTTTCGGTTGGCAGTTATTAGCTGGTTTTTCTTGGAAAAGGAAGGTTGCGATTTTATTCCTCTAGCCAGAGAGGCTACACGTATGTATTTACTATTAGACTACATTATACGAATAACATTTAATTTATTAACGTAAATTTTGCTCCTTGGGTGAGTAATGTGTGTTCTATGGTAATGTGTTTACAACGTCTTTACGTGAGAAATATTGCAGAGAGAACCTTAATCTTATGGACCTATCAAGCTTATTCTGGATGAATGAGATTTTTTTAACATTACAACATACCAACCAACAATTTTTAATATCATTATTTGAGGTTTCTTCCCGAAATCTAGGTTAATTTGTACTAAAATTGTTGAAACATTTCAAAGCGTTTCATTATAAAAGTAATGTGCTTGTCTGGTGTAATATTTTCAGCAACTGTTTATGGTCTTGGTGTGTACTTTGCACAGTCATCTGCTTACTCTGAACAATACGCTACACCCGATACCAACGGAATGCGTAAGCTGTATCAAGCCCGAGTGCTGGTTGGTGTCTCTGTGGAAACTGATTCCAACACCAAGTATTTACCCAAGCAGCCTGGCTCCGACTTGCCATATGACTCGGGCAAAGCACCCGCCACTAGAAAAGAATGCATCCATGTCATATTTCATGACAGCCAAGCGTACCCAGAATACATCATCACATTCTCGCTACCCATGGACCACGTAGCCCCTTAAACAAATGGGAAGTTGCTCAGTCATAATATAGTCTAACAATTTTTTCAACATGATGAAGTTTCTAATTTAAAAAACTTTGTTTTTAATCAAGACAAAATACACACGTTGAAAAGTGCTCACATATTTTTTGCCAAGTAATTTAATTAATTACAGTTTGTATTTGGCCTAGCTTGCTTGGACGAGTATTTAACAAATGAAATGTATTTTACTCTACCAAAAAAAAACGGCCAATGCTTTACAGAAAGACTTATTCATAATTTTCTAAGTATGTGTTTTTTTATTCAAGATACTTTGTTATTTAAGATTTTTGTTTTTTAATAAATTCAAGGCTATGAGTTATTGCACTTGAACTCATTTCTATATACTTTTTTAAAGACATTAAAACACAATGCCACGGGAATTTCACTTCGCTAAAGCAGGAATGTGTATTGGGTTCTGAACTGCAAGGAATTAAACACCTATCATAATTGATAAAATTTTTGTAAATGTATAAAATAAATGTTTTTTATCAGTTTCAGCGTCCTCTATTCACTCCGAAAGTTCCTTCAGCCTTCAGATATATATATATATAACCAGTTTGTCTAAACATGCATCGTTTACAAGCATATAATTATGATACTATTTTTCAAAATGTATTTCTGTTAAATATTTGGTTTAATGTTTTAAAAGAAAAGTCCACAAATGTTAAGAGTTTTTATTTATATAATAGAGGTCCCCTATTTTACGCTATGTAGATTAGTAATGCCACTAGGGCTATGTCTAGGGTATGATTAATTTCCTAATGAAGTATTCTACACTAATCTCACTCCACGCTAAACTATAACATTCAATGATACTTGATACCCTCACTAGCTCTCACTTCTATTAATACTATCACTATACTCAGAGAACACAGGTGGTTCAGCCCACAAATAAATATTTAATAATGGAACAGAATTAACGACACATATAGTGCAATGTCTAATTGACTATCTAATACTTTCGTCTAACACAATTTTTCCATGGACTAAGTTACGATTGATGGTCTGTCCTCTGTATGCAGGTCCAATACACACACACTTGGTTTGGCCTCTCTATCTGGTCTCCGGTCACTCGCACTGCGATATGGTAGGTGTAGACTAACACTTAAACGGTGGCTCTTACACACACACAGACAGCCCTCTCGCTGGTCACTCCGCTGCCTCTGTTTATCTAGTAAGCCTTATGACTAAACTGTACTGAGTGATCTATACTATATGGTATACTATACCGACAGTAGGGTAATAAGTTCTACTGTACTGAACTGTACGCAACTCAACTGAAATGACTCTAAATTAGCTCACTATACTGAGACTAAAGTCAACTGTACTAATTGTACTAGCTTAAGCTAACTCAAACTGTACTGGTATTAACTCAGACTAGACTAACTGTTACTAACTCAACTGTTACTAACTCAACTGTTACTTATACAACTATTACTTACTAAACTATCATTACTGGCTAGAATTGAGAATAACGAATACAACGCATAAGACATAGGTAAATAATCAAAATCACATCACATTATTAATAATCAATCATACTCTAACAGTAACTATAGTACTAACATTTTCTTAATAAAACTACAACTACAATTCTACATACCGGTACACATGAATAAGAAAATTAACAATACTAATCCAGCAAAATCTGGATGAACAAACTTCATCAACTAATTATGCCAGCCAGGCTCTACCGACAGACTTCAGGGGAAAGAGGGGGATAAATGATTAGGGCCCTCAATACATACGCTAAGTTTGGCGTCCTGTCCCGAATTCACGCGTCGCGTCTGACGCTCTGACCAGACGCTGGTCATGGTCAAGGTGACCAGGTTAATTTCCATTGTTCATTGAGTCATTGTTATTAGTGTAAGGCCCAGCCTAATTGCGTAATATCACGCGGGGTAGCGATGGAGAGAGTGTGAGCCAGCGGTTCTCACAAAAGTGAGGACCAGCGGGTTTCCAAAATTTCTATTTTGTGTAGCTGTAACATAGTTGATTTCTTAAAACAATTGTGCAAGGGCTGGATGATTTTTCCATATATTTTGTTGCTGTTAATTATATTAAGTTATCAAAATCTAAAAAATAGTTTGAAGTATTATGTATTATGATTTTGTCACTAGAAAATCTTTTGTAATTCAATAAGGAAATGTCAGCTAACAATTTATCTCATCCTATTGGACTTACTTTTTCTCTCTTCCTCCAACTATTGCCAATATTATGTGAACTCGCTAACCTACTAATCTCCTCTATCATTCCACTGGCTGTCCTCTCGGATACTACAATGCAGCTAAGTGTTTATTGTAATTTTTAGATTTGGTTTTGACTGTTGTTTGTTTGTTTGTTTGCTGAAGAAGGCTTCCTGTCGACACGTTCGTTGTTTTGTTGCGTCTTTTTTTCAAGTTTTACCATACTTTGTTTCGTTTATTTCCTTATTTTGTACATATACTTTAATTTTTGTGAGCTTACTCCATGGTTTGCTTTAATTCGAATTATTGTCTTACGAGACACGTGAATTTGTTTCCTTCTCTTAACAGTCATGTAAAATTTAAGAATTTAAAAAAAAAAAATATTTAACGTTTTTAAGATGGGTATGACTGTATGCTGTCATGTTTAATATAACTGTTACTAAAGTTGAGGGAGATAGTAGGAATGGGGTGAGGTGGAAATGGTGGGGGGGGGAGGCGCCTGCCAGCGTCAAGAATCGGGATTAAACNGGAGGGGGGTGGGGGGGGGGGGAGGGGGGGGGGGGGGGGGGAATGGGGGGGGGGGGTCAGAAGTTGAAAGATATAGTAGGAAGGGGTTAGGTGGAGGCTATGGGGTAAGAAGTTGAGGCAGATAGTAGGAAGGGGTTAGGTGGAAACGAAAGGGTCAGAAATTGAGGGAGATATTTGGAAGGGATGAGGTAGAAACGAGGGGGTCAGAAATGGATGGAGGTAGTAGGAACGATGTTTAATGACAGTGACGGTTCGTATAACTGTTTTTATGTGGGTTCCATTAATATATCCCATCACTTTCTAGTAATCAGTATTTTATGTTTTTTCAAATTGTATTATTTATTTATTTTTGCAAGCTTTGAAGCAAAGTAGTTTTTGCTTGTTCGTTTTTTTGTGTTTTTTTTAATTTGTTCAGTGCATTTTTAAAATAAATAAAACTTATAACTCGTCTTACTGTGTTCATTTTACTAAACTGCAACCAACCATTTTTAATATCATTATTTTGAGGTTTCTTTTTTAAAAAAATGATTTTTTTTTTAAATTGTTGAAACATTTCAATGAGTTTCTTTATGAAATAAATGTGCTTATCCGGTGCATTTTAAATATAAAATAAACGTACAACTCGTCTAATTTGATTCATTATTAAATATTTTGCCCCTACGTCAAGAAATTCACACAAAAAACACAGTAATACTAAACATAAAACAACGTAAAAACTTTTGGCAACGAAACTGTTACGTCACATTCGCCTTGTCCAACGTCACATTTGCCTTGCCCAATGTTAAGATTTTCTCTTTGCTATTTAAAAATCGTTTTTCGTAATAAAAAAGGTTTTAAAAATATGAACAGCTAAATTAGGGGATTGGGGGGGGGGGGGTTAATCATTTCAATGTCTTCGTTATGTCTAAGGGCAATCATTGAACAATGATTTTCTCTTTGCTATTTAAAAATCGTTTTTCGTAATAAAAAAGGTTTTAAAAATATGAACAGCTAAATTAGGGGATTGGGGGGGGGGGATAATCATTTCAATGGCTTCGTTACGTCTAAGGGCAATCATTGAACAAATCAATGATTTATAGGTCAAGTTGTTCTTTATTGAAAAAAAGTGTGTCTTCTTTCATCCGCTCTTTCTCGCTCTCTCTCTCTCTATCTCTCTCTCTCTCTCTCACACACACACACACACACACACTCTCTCTGCAACTCTATTACTGCTACCATAACTTCCAACAACGTCATATCTCATACTCAAATACGTCGCAAAGTACAAAGCACATAGCAACAGCTACATTTTTGCTCTCAGCACCAAAACACACACCCCTAAAAAATAAGAATAAATTATTAACAAAATCATTTCTTTACGCAAGAATAATAAACGCTAGTATTCTACACGCAAGTGTTCTACACGCAAGTATTCTACACGCAAGTATTCTACATGCAAGTATTCTACACGTAAGTATTCTACACGCAAGTATTCTACACGCAAGTATTCTACATGCAAGTTTTCTACATGCAAGTATTCTACACGTAAGTATTCTACACGCAAGTATTCTACATGCAAGTATTTTACACGTAAGTATTCTACACGCAAGTATTCTACACGCAAGTATTCTACATGCAAGTACTCTACACATAAGTTTTCTACACGCAAGTAACCTAAGCGCTAAATATTCTACACGTTAGCAGTATGTACCACAATCTAGAGTCATCACTGTCAGAAGTTCCCTAAATATATTATTATTTATTGACCTTGTCACATCTTGCCAAAAAAATGTTGTGTTCCCTGAACTCTTGTCAAGCTCTTAATTCTCTAGTTTTTTTTTTTTGTCAGAAGTTTGTGAAAGTTCCACCAGCTATCTTTTTTTAAAAAACTTTATCATAAGTTCTCTTTATATATTATATAGAATTATTTTTTGGTAATTTCAGCTTAGTGATAATTGTGTTTAATTTTGTGTTTACTGTTTTTTATGTTCGCTGATGAAGGCTTCTTACCGACACGTTCGATGTTTTGTTGTGTTTTTATTTCAGGTTTTCAATGAATTTCTTTCGCTCATTTCCATAATTATTTCATGAGTTGGTCACAAGTTCCCTTAAATATATAATTATTATTTCATGAGTTGGTCACAAGTTCCCTTAAATATATAATTATTATTTCATGAGTTGGTCACAAGTTCCCTTAAATATATAATTATTATTTCATGAGTTGGTCACAAGTTCCCTTAAATATATAATTATTATTTCATGAGTTGGTCACAAGTTCCCTTAAATATATAATTATTATTTCATGAGTTGGTCACAAGTTCCCTTAAATATATAATTATTATTTCATGAGTTGGTCACAAGTTCCCTTAAATATATAATTATTATTTCATGAGTTGGTCACAAGTTCCCCTAAATATCTAATTATTTCGTGACCAAGTGACGATCTAATATCTACTTATCCATGTGCTTTTGGAAAGTTTCCAATGACCTAACTGTTTGTTATATAGGGGGGGGGTGGAGGGGGTGGGGGGGGGTAATTGATTATATTACTTTCCTGGTTTATAGATCAATCAATAACTACAATTTAAAACATTTGTGATCTTTATGATCGTTATTTGTTGGACTGACATTTAGTAACTCGATGACACCTTAATGACTAAGCGGTTTACATTATACTCTTTATGGCAATTATTTACCCTCTCACCTGCCCCCCTCCCCCGCTCCACTTCACGCACGGCTGTTAACTTGACGTCGACGTAGATGGGCTCTGATCACCCTCGTGATGCCTTGGTCGTTACAACAGAGCCTTGTCTTTATAACATTTCTTCAATCATAAACGAGACAGTAACTGCATATATCAACACGGTGTTAAAACGTCTCCACTCTCATGCTCGATCACGTGATCATGGAAGCTTATTGGGTTATCACACCTAGTTGGGTTAAAAAAAATCCGCAGCAGGCCACACTGGTTCAACAGTCGGTAAGTTGAATAGACTGAAAATCTGGCCATTTATTCTCTTAGATTAAAGGGGAAGAAATGAATTTATTTGTTTTATAGAATACAATAATATGATAAAAAAATAATGATGTCTTAATAGATTTTAAGATGATACGATGGAATCTACATTTTTTTTTTTTTGTTTCAGCAAAACAAGCTAAAATTGTATTTTGGTTTTTGTGTTAAGATAATAAAAAAAAATTGTATCGCTGATTTAAATAAATTATCAGACTTCCCGTCAGTTCATTCAGCTCTCTCAATTCAATTGTGTTTTTTAATGTTTCTTTCCCTTAAATAATCAAGACTTAAATCCTAAGATCTGCCTTTAAGGCATCCATTTACGTCATTTCATATTGTAGGTCAAAACTGAAGCTCATCAGTGAGATGTCTTTCAAATGGATGGTTCTGTTCAGTTTGATGGTAGCAAAGGTAAATTGGTACTTTCCTCCGTGATGGCTGAACTGGTAAATTTGATGGATATGCTAGCAAGATTCCAAGGATGAGTTAACAGTGCATTTGATAAGTTAACAGTGCCTAGGTTGAGTTAACTGTGCTTATGATGAGTTAAGAGTGCCTGTGTCGAGTTAACAGTGCCTATGTTGAGTTAACAGTGCTTAGGATAGATTAACAGTGCCTAGGATAAGTTAGCAATGCTTGTGAGAAGTTTACATTGCTGGGTTGAGTTGGCAGTGCCTAGAATAAGTGAACAGTGCCTAGGTTGAGTTAACAGTGCCTAGGTTGAGTTAACAGTGCCTAGGTTCAGTTAACAGTGCCTAGGTTGAGTTAACAGTGCCCAGAATAAGTTAACATTGCCTAGAATAAGTTAACAGTGCCTAGAATAAGCTAACAGTGCCTAGAATAAGCTAACAGTGCCGGATTAACCTAAAGGAAAATTATGCATGGACTAACAGAGCCCCGCTACAGGGGATTCAATGTTATCGTCTGGTTGGGGACTTGATTTAATCTTGAAGGCAACTTCAATAACCCCATCTATGGTACTGATGGGCAGCTCGGGCTTCTCCGTACGTAACAAGTTATATAATTAGGGGGATATGAGAAAAAGAAAGGGGAAAACACAAGCCATATACTTTTTCTAAGGGAGGATTTTAAGAGTTCGTCCCCCTACTTACGACACATAGGGAAATGGTGCCGGTGGGCCTTCGAGCCCGAGCACTTAATGCCCCCCCCCCCCGGCACACCTCCACACGGGCCAGACCTCGGTGAATAGTGAACAGGTGATATTTGGCTAAATGTGATGGTACAGGTGATGATACGTGTGATGGTACCTGTGATTGTACAGGTGATGGTACAGGTGATGATACAGGTGATGGTACAGGTGATGGTGCATGTGAAGGTATAGGTGATGGTACATGTGATGGTATATGTGATGATACAAGTGATGGCACAGGTGATGTTACAGGTGATGGTACACAAGGTGTTAGAGTTTATGGTGATGGTACAGGAGATGGTACAGGTGATGGTACGGGTGATGGTACAGGTGATACTACATATGCTACAACTATATTTAAACAAGAGCCCCATCTCGTTGTATTTTTTACAATGACAATATTTATTACCAAGATAAATAGGCATTACCATGCAACCATATGTTACCAGTTAACCATATTACTGTATGCCATCTTGATACAACATGCTACCATGGTAATCTATTTTACAGTGCACGGCGGCCGCTTGTAACAACGGACAACTTGGAGATACCAATTTTCATTGTTACAACCAGGCGGCATCCTTCTGCTCGTGAGTCAGGACAGAAGGAACTTAAATTGTTACTATTGACCCTAACGTTCTGTAATATAGTTTAACATCTCGTTATCAACGTAAACTTCAAATCTTACTTGTTGCAATTGTTAAAATAAGTTGTACCTTTACTACTAATCTTGTTTTAAATATTTACTTCAGAGATGTTAACAAAGCACAGTATGATTAAATATAACATTAGCAACAATAACTCTAAACATCTTTATCATCATAGCATTAGCATCAATAACCTAATACTTCACACCTCTATCGCCCTTCCATTAGCATTAATGACCTAACACTAAAAACCTCTCTCGCCCTCCCTTTAGCCTCAATGACCTAACACTAAACACCTCTATCACCCTCCATTTAGCATCAATGACCTAACACTAAACACCTCTATCGCCTTGCCATTAGCACCAATGACCTAACACTAAAACACCTCTATCGTCCTGCCATTAGCATCAATGACCTAACACTAAACACCTCTATCACCCTGCCATTAGCACCAATGACCTAACACTAAACACCTCTATCGCCCCCCCCTTTAGCCTCAATGACCTAAAACTAAACACCTATATCACCCTCCCTTTAGCATCAATAACCTAACACTAAACACCTCTATCGTCCTGCCATTAGCATCAATGACCTAACACTAAACACCTCTATCGTCCTGCCATTAGCATCAATGACCTAACACGAAACACCTCTATCGTCCTGCCATTAGCATCAATGACCTAACATTAAACACTAAACGTGATGTCTCCCCAGTGTATTGTACATGTTCGTGCATTTTGATCCAGCTTGGCTTCCGGTTATACCGGTTGCTTGTCCCGTGTGAGCACTACATCGTTCACATTGAGCACGATCTGATGTTTGAAATTGGTCCGGTCGTTTGTCAAGAGTGCATAGACCGTCTATCCGGGTGTTGATTTCCACTCTCCATCACCGCATATACATACTGATAGCCGAAAGGTCTTGCTGTAGTGGCTGTACAGACGAGTGGGATCCTTACCGGTGCCCTGGATTATCAAATCGCTGCATTCTCTAGACCACGATGTTAGGGAGATCGGTCGGAAGCTGCTCGGTTGATCGCTATTCTTCCCCTCTTCGGGAATAACGATGACTTGAGCGTTTTGACAAGCTCTGGGCAGGACTCCCGTTGGCCCGTGATCTGTTAACGAATCTCTACAGCGTGTCATTAACTATCGTCAGACGTGCATAGCTTTTTGAAAATTTCGTTACAGATTTTATTTTGTCCCGATGCCTTGGCTGCTTTGCACTAATCGTTCGCCTTTTATATGTCTCCTGAGACTGGTACAATTTCCGCTTTCGTCAGTACCTCTCTGTTTTAAATTCCCTTTACGAAAATGCCTGTTAGTGCCTTTGCGTCAGTTCACACTATCAAATTCTCCTTCAAACATTTGATGCAATCTGTGTTTGAAGCCTTTTCACAACTTTCAAATCATGATTTGATAAAATTGTGATGGTATGAGAATTATATTAGTATTAATACGCAACCTCCATATCACATGAACAAAAACTAAAAATAAAAATAAGCTCATCAATCTAGGTTATGTTTACATTGACTACGCTAAGTTATCAAAACAACAACAGACTTCAAAAAAGAATTATTTAGTTAATTTAGTAAAAAAGAGCAATAATAAAATACTTATAAAATAAATGGGCGAAGGGCATGATATAATTGAAATTTATTTTTTTAAAGCGGCTTTTAACTTTATAAACAACAATAACTGTAGCACTAGGCTAGTCACTAATTGTGACTAATCACTAAGACTAAGTAACTAAGTTAGAACTTAAACTTATGATATTTATTAATAATAAATAATTTTTACTACTTTCTTCTAAGGCTGGTATCCATGGGCGCCCACAGGTAGGGGCAGGGAGGGCACTCCCCCCCCCTGGATTGATTGGATAAAAAAAATTTAGACAAAAAATTTATTAAAGTAAAGAGAAAATAAAGAGAAACTAAGCTGATGTCCTGTCCGTTCGTTCACCATACAAATACGCTACAGTAAATTAAAACTATAATAACACATTACTAAAAATTGTTTGAACATACCAACAAAAAAAAAACTCCCCCCCCTGAAAGGTAACCGCTTCCCCCCCCCCCCTAGAAAGTTTTCTGCGGGCGCCCATGCTGGCATCTGCGACTTTATCTATAAATGTTTCTGTCTAGGCCAGCAATTGAGAGACATTTTTTTAAACCAATTCCTATGTCTAAACTAAGTGACTCACTCTCGGAATTCCACTCCACACAACTGCGTCAACTAACTTGAGTGCCGACTAGCATCTTTTTGTTTTATTTTAGTACTAAGTAATACAAAAAATAAAAACGTTAATAAAGTTTATTTACGTTCTTCAAAAATGGTTTAGGGGCAGGTTGTTGTTTTTTTTTGACGAACTCCACTCTGGATCATTTATTTTCAGCTCCCGCTCAGGTCCGACAAAATAAAAAGGAGTTGATGAAGGGTTGTTGAGTGTTTAAAGAAATATTTACTGTTATTTAAACTGAATCTCTGATCAGTGAGAAATTTTGCCAGCTCCAGCTCATGGCAAAGAAAAATATTGCTCCAGAGCTTCTAGATCTCTAATTACAAAGCACAATTATAAATTAAATTTTCCAAAACCAATATCAATAAATTTTCCAAAACCAATATCAAAAACCCCCCCCCCCCCCCCCCCCCCCCCCCCCCCCCCCGTGCTACCATAGCAAATGGATGCCCCATACTGAAATTAAAATTAAATTGTTCAACTTTTTCATTATTAAATTTACTTATTTACTTTAGGTCAATTATGAAATTTTCTGTGGAGACCCCTTAGGTCTACTTTTTTATGTTGAAGCATGTGACTTTAAATTATTAAATACAATACAGATTTAAATCGGCACCCTTCAATTGAGGAGATATAATCACAGTAAATAGCTTCCATTTCTGATGGATACTGTTACATTGTACAAGTATAGTTATGCTATACTCCACATTCATAAATAAAAGTCAATTAAGAAGAAAAAAATAATCAATATAATTTTTTTGATTCATTTAAATGTTAATTTGAAGAATTTTTTGAAAAGTTTTGAGATAGTTAGAAAGGACAAATTGCAGTAGTCTTCTTCTATGTCTGATAATTGCCAGTAGAGCATAGGCCATTAACTATTACTTTCCAATCCTTCAAGTCTCTAGATATCGTTTCCAGCTCTATCACATCTTTATAACTGTGTACATTTTTGTCAACATTCCTTTACTAAGGAAATCATTTCTGAATTATGCATTAAAATTTATAGTACACTCATTTGTAGTACTCTTCTATAGGTTAAAAAATTTATATTGATTACAATTATCTATAGTTTTATCATTTATATACTGGTACTCTAACTTAAAATCTGCTCCAAACTATGACAGATAATATATAAGGGATGTAGTAATCTCTTTTTAAAAATAATTTATAACATACAAGTCCAATCACAGATTTCACAAGAACTCAGAAATAAAATGTAAAAAATTTTATTAAAAATAAGCAGTGCTGAATGAAGTTATCAAGAAGCACTACCATTAATAGTAGTATGTAGTAGTCATTCCAAATTTTCAAATAGGAAGGATGTCTCAATCATTGTTGACTATAAAGATTCTGTCATTTTATTTTCTTTCAAGTTATGGGATTGTGAATGCGTGTCATTGTTGAGTTTAATAATTTCTGAAAGAAACAAAAGAGAAATATATTTTATTTATTACACATACAAATATTTCTTAAAAATATATAGACCTACATTATAAAGATGAGATCAAAGGGGTCGTCCATTAATTACTTCAACAATTTTGATGACATTTTTGACACCCTCCCGCCTTTTCAACAACTGTCAAATTTTCGATGACCCCCACCCCCCAAGTAATTATGTAAAAATCTCCCCCCCCCCCACCCCCGCAAAAATGAATCATAATATAAATTAATTTATAAATACATTTACTTTGTGCTGATCTATTTAAATGACACATAAAAGTAGAGAAAACATTTTATTACATGTTTAGCATGTTAATCAACGAGTTAAAAAGTTTTTGCATTTAAATTTTATAATGCAGAATCAATTATAAGGTTGACGTAATCTACACCCCCCCCCAAACCATTTCCCCCCCTTGTCAACAACTGTCAAACATTTCCAAACCTCCCCCCCCCTCGTTTTTGTTGACGTAATTAATGGACGCTCCCAAACTACTACTACTACTCATTTTAAAGTGTATACGTTTATATTTCCCAGTTATCATACATTACATATATGTTTGAACACTAAAGCATACAATAAAGTAATTGAAATCTGGAATTTTCTAATTTATTCAAGCTTTTGGTGGAAAGAGTATGACTAATCAAAAGCCTCCCACATTTGTATCATAGGTTTTCAATTATAAATTTTAATAATTAAATTTTTCTATGTTAAATTGATGCTGCCACCTTTTTCTGAGTGTAAATTTTGAGTGGAAATGTGCCTGATGAATTAGTTTAAACGAGGAAGAGTGGTAAAGTGCATGATGGGTTATTTTGATAGAAGTTGGGTGGTAAAGTGCCCATTTGCACTATTTTAGGGTGGTTACACCCAAAGTGGGGAAAACCTTATAATAATTTTAATAATAATGACAAATTTCAACATTTAAAATTGCTATCATGTTTTTTCTACTTAAAATTTTGTATATTTTTAGCAGAAAGATAGTTATTTTCATTTTAGTTATTTAATGATAATATAAAATTAGTATCAAACGAGAACAAATATGGTAATGAGATTGCATTGTGATTTTAAAATAAGTATCATTAATATTCAAAAACTTTGAGAGTGAGTAGTATGACTATCTTATTTTATAGGCCTAGCATTATTTAACATGAAACATATATGTGAATAAATTAATTGCGCCTCTTGCCCCAACTAATTACTAATAACTAATACTACAATGCCATATTTATTATGAATAATGACTGACGACGAGTTCAACTTACAATTCTTCTTTTCTTTAATTATCAAGGCAGTCAGGGCCCATCGTCTAAGCAATCCTTAGCTGCCAGGCTTATGGTGGTGAAATATAAATTAAGCCAAGTTTTTTGAGTATCAAAAATGGCATTATCCTTCGAAGTTGTGAGTAACTTGACCATAACTTGTTTTCAAAAATTTAAATCGCAGCGCACTTTGCTTGAATCGCTGCCATTTTGAGAAATCAGCTGTAAAGTCAAGTGAACGAAAACATTGTCCATAAATCCGCATACAAATTAGTGCCTTCAAACACGCATTGAATCAAATGGTTGAAGGAAATTTTGATAGTGTCAACCGACGCTTAGGCGCTTTTGGTGTCTGTTGTGACCGTCGTGCCGGTTTTCTTTTGCGAGGTTCTTGAGTTCTTCCAGGAGGGTCAATTAAGCGCCACACCTTTTTTCCCGTCCGTCAAGTAGGGGTTTTCACAAGTACCAACCCATTTTCTATTGTTTGCCTTGATTACAGCGTCCCGGACTTCAGTCGTCATATTTTGTTGCAGAGTCTCCAAGCAAACCTTGCCTTTTCCAACCCTATGGCAACTGTTATAAGGATTGGTCGGTGGTCGCGACCTCATCTTTCGCTTCTGGTTCTGTTGATATTAGGTTGAGTTCTGGACGGGACCAGGCACTTTGGCCTGTGTGGAGCAGCGTTGGAGGTTCCATCTTTCCTAAGTAACGCCAGGAGGTATTCCCTTCAGGGTAGACCATATCTCCTATATTTGCGTTAAAATCCCCAGCTATAATAGTTATGAAAAAGATTGTTGTGCCACACAAGGGTAAGCACAATATGTTTATAGATGTATCACAAATGTTACTAGTGGTTAATAACTTACAGGGTTTAGCTAATCTAAAGGCGGGGATATTGGTCCCACGAAGATTTTTGCACTCTACAAATTCACTGTTTGGGGGGGGGGGGGCTTTCTCTAGAGTTACCAGCTCTTGGCACTTCGCACAAGTACAGCGGGAGACTGAATAGCCCAAGAAGTACAACGGTTAATTTTTTTCAGTATGGTCTCTTGTAGTTATACAACGTCCACCACCAGATCGTGTTCCAGTTGGGTGATTTCCGTGGTCTCACCTCTGACGCCAAAACATTTAAGCTTTAGCATAATTAGGTTTGAGGGCGGTCAACCGTGGCACCTTGCCTAGTGAAGTACCGGCACCTGAAGTCGGCCATGAGCTCTGACTTGCAGGGGGGAGGAGTGGGGTCGACAGCCCTGCGCTTAGATTTTTGTCAGTAGTATTAGCCATGATTTAGAATAAACTAGACCCCTGTCTCCTTGACACTGTCCCACGGAGAGATACCGTTGCAACTCCCACCTTCACATTAGGAGTCAGACGTATGCGTGAGACCAGGAGTCAGACGTATGCGTGAGACCAGGAGTCAGACGTATGCGTGAGACCAGGAGTCAGACGTATGCGTGAGACCAGGAGTCAGACGTATGCGTGAGACCAGGAGTCAGACGTATGCGTGAGACCAGGAGTCAGACGTATGCGTGATAACTCGTTTGCTCCAAAAATCCAGCTACTAGTCCGCCAGAAGACGCGCGTACAGAACACGGTCACTTGTGCTGGACGAATGACCTAACACTAAACATGACGTCTGCCCTTAACATCAATAACCTCGCACTAAGCACCTGTATTTTCCTGCCATTTTGGCATTAATGACCTAACACAAAACACCACTTTCCGGACATTAACATTGATGACTTTTATTTTTACTAAGCACTAAACACTATGCAAGCCATCTCACCATCTCATTGATCTAATGTCAAACATTTATATCTCCCTAAAAGCAGTCTCATTGACATAACTATAAATAAGGTTTATTCTTTCCTCGCAACATTATTTTTAATAAATCGTTTACATGATAAATGACCTACAACTGTCCACCCGTATCTTCCGGCCAGCATCCTCAATGACCCGACGGTCAACACATTCAACAAAGAACACGCCAAGGTGAACATCCTCGGGACTGTGAAGGTGGCAGAGTTCAGTGCAGAGAAGCCAACTGAGCAGGGTACAGAGAAGTGCTCGGTGACTGTGTGGGCTGTGAGTGAGGTGGTCCTTGGGAAGATCTTCATTGGAGGCTTCAGGGTAAATTCATGTTCTGAATCAAAGGACACAAAGTAATGGTGTGCATGGAGCAATGTGGTGGTTTCTTTTGTGTGATATTTTCACTATTAAGTATTTCGTTTTCTGTTGTGTCCAGCTTCCCTTTTCACAACCGGCCCTCCCCCTAATCAAGATGTTTCATATTAATAGTACTGAATGGGTTGAGGGGGGGGGGTGATCTGACACGAAGAGAGCGTTATGCTTGACGGTTCTACTCAGGTAAAAGATTGATTTTTTTTTTGATTTTTTCCATTTTATAAATAAAGAGCCACGGGAATGGTGTAGGACTGTTTGTAGGACTTAAGTTTCAAGGCCGGCATCTAGAGTTTAGGACTGTCTGTAAAACATCAATTTAAAATATCAAATTTTATACACATTTCATATTATTTAAGTGTTACGTAACAAATACTCCCAGGAAGCAGTTGAATGTTGTGAATATTTATTTAATTTTACACGTTTTCTTTCCGTAATGCTCGTTATAATTTTAAAAAAATGTGTGTGTGGGGGGGGGGGCTGCAGTCACGGTTTTCCTGCGAGAAGAGGAGCTGCGACTTCCATTCCTGGAAATGCCTCATAAGACATTCGAGAAAGTCTCAATAGTGCAGAACCTTCACTGTCGTCTCATAGAGACGGAAGGATGGCAAATTATATTATAATGTTATTGCACTTAAACAACTGGTTAATTTACAGTTACTCTCTTATGAAATTGTTTGCCTACATCTCTGTTGAATTATATTTTTTTTTTAAATATTGGTAATATATGCCTGGATAAACTTGGTTTTGTAAAGCGACATTCAAAATATAGATTTCGAATTATTATAATTTAGAGGCAGAGAAATAGTTACCATGAGTGCAAGAAATGCATTTTATTTTTATGCAGCTTGCTGAGTAAAAGAAGTGTCCAGAATGCAAACATTTTTAGGCAAAAGACCATTTAACAGTTTATTTATTCAATTAAATATATTTAGTAGTAATATTTCGGGATTCATTATATATATATATATATATATATATATATATATAGTATCGAATTTAACTTTTAATTCATCACAACTTGTGGCTTTCTTGGGAAGATGTTGATCACTCCTGAATTAGTGAGATAGCAACTAGGAAGGACAGACTCTGGGCACATAGGAAATATGGAGACAGGCAGGTAGGAAATATAGCGATAGCCAGTTAGGAATTATAGAGATAAACTCTAGGCAGATAGGAAATATAGAGATAGACTGTAGGCAGATAGTAATTATAGAGAAAGGCAGATAAGAGATTAGAGATAGACTCTAGGCATATAGGACATATAGCGGAAAGCAGGTAGGAAATATAGAGATATTAACAAGGAGAGAGACTTAAGGTCTAGGGACTGGACGCGATAGGCAATATACCCGGCTTTGCTTTGCTCGGTTCCGGTTTTGCATTCGAAAGAAAACTTATCAAGCGTTTTCAGCATACACGTAAATATATTGTATACATATGACATATATACATACATTAATTTTAAAAAAATTAAGACTGGTCTCTAACTTATCATTTTTATTTAAAGTGATTGAAAAACTAGTTCTAAAAAACTTGTTTGCTTACTTAAACGACCACTCTCTTCTCAGTCCTACTCAGTCGGCCTATAGACCTTTCCACAGTGCAGAGGCAGCTCTCTTGAGAGTCTCCAGTGACCTCTTGCTCACACTGGACAGCGGTAATGTCTCCATCCTGATCCTCTTAGATCCTAATGCGGCCTTTGACACTGTTGACCATGAAACCCTTGAACAAAAACCTTGAAAACTACTTTGGAATTTCTGGTTCAGTTTTGGTTTGGCTTAGGTCCTACCTTTCCGATAGAACGCAGGTGGTCGCTGTCAATGGCTGTGTCTCAGGCAGTGCTGATTCGGTATACGCGCGGTGAGCCCCAGCCCCAGGCTGGGGTACCGGGCTTTATAAACCACTAGTGATATATATGTGTCGTATTTATGTCGTGTGAGATACCGAAGCGATAAAAATTCGATAAGGGGTATTTCGCAAATAGCTTCACGCTAAAAATGACTTTTTTTAAAAAACCCCCCCCCCCCCCCCGGGTCACAAAGTGTCAAAAAATTCTTTACCACCCCCCCACCCTCCAGTGTCACGCCCCATCTAAAAAAATCAAAACATTCATAAAATGTGCTTAACTAAACTAAGATTTTATTCTTAAACATTTTCCCATAATAGATTAAGATGTAGTATAATGGAAAACTGTTGCGCAAAACAACGAAGACATCCACAAGCCAAATGTAAAATGGCCACAACAGTTTTTGTGTCATTTTTCGATACGCGCAGAAGGTGTGCACGAATGAGGTTCACGGTTCTTATAATAACAGAGGTGATTTCGAACTCAAATTAATGTTTGTAAAATTAATTGAATAAAGATTTTTCAAAATTAGAAAATGTTAGAATCTTTAATTTTTTTTAATCGTGACATCTCAGATACCCCCCCCCCTTTTTTTTCTTCTCCCCCTGTCACAAAGTGTCACAAATAAATTAGCTTGACGTAATTTGCGAATGATCCCTAAGCATGTTCCCGTTTTATCCCAACAGTTGAATTCTATGATGAAATAAACTAATATTACAGTAGGAAATGACATTTTGTTATTTGGTATACGTGGTAAAGATAGATCAGCAAATTAGTGCAACTTTAATTATGTAATATTGATTTCAGATATCGGTCTCGCTGAAAGTGACAGACAGTCCAGCTATTACATGCTGCATTTGTGTTACTTTGTTTTCTGAAGAGAACTTGACATCCACTCCAATTATTACATACTTCCTTGGTATTACTTTGTTTTCAGGCAAGAATAATACGCCAAGATGCCAGCACTGGGTTCCTACCTTCCTTTTATGAATTTGAGGTGAAGAAGAAAGTTCTGATAGGTAAGAGAAAACGTAAAAGAGTTTGAGGTAGAGACCGACCGAAAGTGATTTTTTTATTTCGGCCGAAGCCAAAAATAGGCCGAAAATTTAAAATGAATTTCGGCCGAAACCGAAAATAGGCCGAAAGTTTAAAAATGACTTTCCACCGAAACCGAAAAGAGGCCGAAAGTTAAAAATGACTTTCGGCCGAAACCGAAAATGAAATAATTAGATATTTTGAAATTCGTTCCCGCATACATTCTGCATGCATCGAAAATGATGAGGGAAAGTATAAATATTTACATTCTTTTTTATAAAAAATGAGATAATCGTGAATATTAATAAATAAACATCTAATGTAGGGGTCTCAAACTCGCGGCCCGCGAGCCATTTGTGACCCGCAAGACGATATTTTGCGGCCCGCTACATGACAGAAAAGTTAAGTGTTAATGCGCCGGCGCATTTTCCCATACTCATATCTATAACGTGACATTCTGCGACGGTTTCAGTCGAATCTCACCGACTAGTCTAATTCTGATTTTTTTTTTTTTTTTTTTTTTTTTTTTTTTTTTGTATGATGGTTATATTGGTAAGAACCGCTTTAAAGTCGGAATAAAAGTTTTTTATTTTATGGCTTTTTTAGTCGAATCTCACCGACTAGTCTAATTCTGATTTTTTTTTTTTTTTATGTTTCTATATATTTTTGTATGATGGTTATAATGGTAAGAACCGCTTTAAAGTCGGAATAAAAGTTTTTTATTTTATCGCTTTTTATGATATAACAAGATGGCGGTATAATGATAATCTCAAAGTGCAGGCGCCTCGGTAAAGCAAGGGAGACAAGTTAAAAATGATTATTGGAATTTGGCTTCGGCGCAAGAAAATTCGAACTTTTAATTAATTTTAATTGTTTTGCGGTTTCATTCAGGATCAGAATTGATGCTGTAATCAACGTATTTCTCCTTCTAAATACAAATACAATATAGATCTACTGTTAGGCTGAATAGGAAGAAGCCCTCTTGTTGGGAAACAGCCGGAAGTCTCTGTACTCAGCTCTCACCTGTGGTTTCAAGATGCTGTAACATGCACAGCGACTACAACCCGGACAACGATTCCAGGTTGAGGGTAGCCGAAAGGCATAGAACTTTCGGAAAAAAAGGGCGTGTCCCCCATGGCATGTAAAGACTGGATCCGGCAAATTGTGCGGGAGAACCACTACTTGGTCAACGGACAAAAGGCGGAGACAGCACAGTGGTGTGAATCGCTGAGAACATGGCCAGACACGTAGAATGTCATGGTCATTCACTGCATGGGTGACTGGGAGGCCGAATGGTCTAAACTGAGCAAACATAAAGTTGTTGATCTGGAGTTCAATTCAGTTAGGCAAAAACGTCACCCCGGGTGGATGAGACTCGTTAACCTTGGTCGGCAATTCATCTAAGAGAAGGAAACTCTGAATTCAAACCCGGGGTTGGAGTCCCGTAAGGCGCATACAATGACAATTCCTGCAAACGTACCCATCCCTGGTCGTCTTGACGTAGAGTCTTGCCACTGGATATGGTGGGTCCGGAAGAGAGAGTGAGGTTGACGCCGCGCAACTCTTCCTCACTTTAAACAAAAGTCACCCTCGCAAGTCATCAGTCACCAGACGACTCGATGGTCATCGTCGATCCTCGACGGACGAACAACAAATCGTAGCAATCTGATACATTATCAAAGGATCCATATTAATATTGCCGCTAGTGTTTAAGAGTGAGGTAAATTCCGAGCGTGTCAGCTTGGTCACTTTCTTAATCTTCTTCCTATGCCTTTTAACCCAGTCTGGGTCTCTACATTTTTTTTACCTCAAAACACGGACAGCCACTTTTCAGCTTTTTGCTGACCGTTTCTCCTTTAATGTGCAAGATGCCCCGCGCGGGGAACTGAATGGAAAAACAGACACGCATGGACATTTTATTGCACTGGCCTCCACCTTCCCTGAAATTTTTAGGTTGTTCAAGCGGATCATACTACTTTTTGGGAGTACCTCTGTGAATAGCTCTTTTCCTCTTTGCACTTTAACAAGTCAAAGTTCAGGGCCAAACTTACTGATGAGGATCTTCAAGCTATACTGAGAGTCTTAGTTGCTTCGTCACTCAAGCCAAAGTTGCTCAACTGTGTAAAAAGAAGCGCTGTCAGGTCTCTGGCAACAGTGAGTAGGTGGAAGAAAGTGAATACTAGTTCTTGAGAAAACTTAATGTTTGTATTGTTATTTATAAAGTTTGAGCAGATTGTAACAGTTGTAATCGCTTTTTTTGTGTGGAATACTTGATGCGACCGAGGCTCACTCAGACACTACCTCCTGCGGCCCCCCTGATGATTTGAGTTTGAGACCCTTGATCTAATGAATACTATGGATCTTACCATTTTAATATAAACGTGATTTAAATTGTTTTACAATTTTTAAAAATTAGTATGGTTGGAGAAAATTTGGCAAAAATGGGAGTAAGGGGTGTGGGGGGGGGGATTAATGCAAAATAGACTCTTGAGTGCCTTTGCTTTTATAATATAATTACAACCTAGAACATATACCTACAACAATTATTGTGGCTCTAATAGAGCCAAAGCCACCTAAATATATTTTATTGAGGCTATAAAAATATCAACACAATGTTTCGCTGTTTTCATAATATTATTGCTTTGTGTTTTCATTAATAGCTTGCAAGATATCACTGTATTAATATTCAACCTAGTAGCAACACACTAGTCTTTCCGTGCTGGTGACGAAATTATTTCATTCGGAGACTACCTCCCTCCCTCCCCCCCCCCCCCCATTGGGGGGGAAAAATATTTTTTTAAACCGGGTCTCTCAAAATTATTGTTCTGACCATGGTTCTAAAACAGGGGTCTCCAAACTCTTCAGCCCGAGGGCCGCATTAACTATCAAACAGCAGTCCGGGAGCCGACTACACACTCGAGGTCCAATTAAAAACGAATCAAAACATGGGTGTTGTTTATAATTATTTATGTAATATTATTTCATTCAGTTATTATTTAATAACACATTGATACACATTGATAAGTAGCGAATACGGTTTTGCCAAGTCATGATCGGTTAGAAAACAGAACGCAAGACTGCGCGCCTCTAATTTAATTCGGTAAAAACATAACGTCCACGTAAGCGGCGTCTGATCTTGGCCGGATACACGAATAATTTCCGTAATTTTTTCCTTAGACAAAAGGTCTCCGCGGGCCGCATGAGAGGGCCTCGCGGGCCGCATGCTGCCCGCGGGCCGTAGTTTGGAGACCCCTGTTCTAAACGATCGCTTTATTTGTTTTTAAAGATCGTTTAGTTTGTTCTTAAAAATCATTTTAAAAAATATCGTTAAAAAAAAAAAGTTAACGTTTCAGTTTCTACCGAAACCGAAACTTGGCCGAAAGTGATAAAATGGTCACTTTCGCCACCGAAACCGAAGCCGAAATTCGGTCGGTCTCTAGTTTGGGGTACAGAAAACGGTATCGGGAAGTAAGAAAACGTGAAAGGGGTAAAGAAAAACGGAAAGAGTCTCATGAAAAAATTCATAACAAACATGTGAATGTTCATTTGAACAACAAAAAAAATTGCTTGACAATCTTCACTATCAATAACACCATCGACACCTACTATGTTTTTCCGGAGAAGAAGCTAAAAGAGAGAAATAACAAGGAAGACCTCCAGACGGAATTGAATACATTCACTGTGTTCAATTGAACGGCCACAATAAAAGAGAAAGGGAATGTAAAAAAAATTATAGTTTTTATATCTAGAAATATTACTTTAAAAGAAATAATAATATGTGTTCATCAGACGGAGTGGGTAGAGTCACAATTGAATGGACAGCGGGCTACCGAACGTCGCCCTCCGCGCCATTCAACTTCCGGTACAATTTTGTGAGTCGCGGGACAGCGAGTTCGGACGTGCTGAGCAGCCTCGGCGACTGTGACATATCCTACACACTCGACTGGTATGGCTTTTTCATCTTGGAGTTTCCTTGCTGCCACTTGAGAGTAGGCTTCAGGCCCAACATACCAACATACCGGCACCAATTGCTTCCAGGTAAAGTAAACGTTTGAATAAAAAAAAAGATTATTTTAAAAAAAAAATATTTTTAAGTATGTCAGACCTTCACCAAGTAAAGAGAGGTTATAGTCCGTATTGTTCATATAGACCTGGTTACACTGAAACTCCCAAAATAGTACAGTATAATCTCAGAAAAGTGTCGCAAATTGGTGACTTAAATGTATTCGTTTTTTTTTTTTTGTTTTTTTTTTAAGATCGCGATCTGCATCAGCCTCTTCGCTCTTCATCATCCCCATTTCCTGAAATGACAATTAAAAAAAAAAAAAAAAAAAAAATGGTTAATATCTACTTGATATCGATACATATTCAATTTTGGCGATGCCTTCCATATTCCGATTCTTTCTCATACATTTCCATGTTTCATAATTTGTTTCCAGGAATTTGGGTTGAAGTTAATGATCCGAATATTCAATTCCCAAATTGGACCCCTGGGAACGAACCGCTCTGTCTGACCAATGGCGCCGTCAACATTTCGAGTATCCAGAAAAACACGGGGGCCGTCAGTGCACAGGAAGCTCTGACCCAACTAGCGTTCACCAACGCTGGCAACGTCACGTTGGATGGGACACCGCCAAACTTTGCCGCTCTCGCCGAGAACTTGGACCTCTGCTCGGGCAACGCGACACGTCGGCTGTTTGCTGATGTATTGACGATACTGGGCTCCCCGAAGCTCGTCAGGTGTATCGCCGATGGGATCCAAGAAGTCCTCGTGTCGTTCCTCGTTCTCCTCGAAAACTGGATCTGCGTCAACGATTCCGAGAGTTGCAACCGGGCGAAGGCGATCCTCCTGGGGAATTGTTCCTCGGTATCACCAAGTACGACTCTCAATGCGTTGTTCAGCGCCCCGTGTTAATTGTGGAAAATAATCAATATAAAATCTGAACAGATAGGTTACGTTTATTGTTAAAACTTTTTTTTTTTAAATGTATTTATAAAACGCCGTGCTACATTTGAAGAGATGTAATGGCGGACATGTTAGATGTGCGACGTTAATTTTGAAGATATTTAGTATAAGGCTTTAATGGTGGGTATGCAATCACGTTGGATGTCAATATATTTATGAACTGTCCTTGTTAGATGTAACGGATTATCAGAGGAGCAAGCACTCTCCAAGGAAGATGTATCAAATCCAATTGAGGCGACTTGAACTTGTCTGTTGATGTTACTGGTGTTTTTTTTTTGGGGGGGGGGGGTTGATGGAAATAATTTATGTAGGAATGAAATCATTAAAACGTTTTTACCTACTAACATAATCTTGGGTGATTTGTTTTTTGCCACATNGGGGGGGGGGGGTAAGAGTTAAGAGTTTCGACTAAGTACCCGGTAGTTATAATCCTTTTAATTCAAAGTTATTAAATGAAGATAATAATCCTGCAACAACAAACAAACAAAACAAAAAAAAAATTAAAAAAAATAACAACAAAAACAACAACAAAAAACAACAAAAAAAACAACAACAAAAATAATAAAATAACAACAAAAAACAACAAAAATAACAACAAAAAATAAAACAAAAAACATCAACAAAGAGCAACAAAAATAACAACAACAAAATACAACAACAAAAAAAACCCAAAAAACTAAAAACAACAAAAAATAACAACAACAATAAACAACAAAAATAACAACAAAAAGTAACAACAAAAACAACAAAAAACAACAACAAAAACCACAAAAAATAACAACAACAACAAACAACAACAAAAACAAAACAAAATAACAACAAAAATAACAACAACAAAAACAACAACAAACAAAAAAAACAACAACAAAAACAACAAAAATAACAACTAAAACAACAAAAAAACAACAAAAAAAAACAACAAACAACAAAAATAAGAACAACAAAAACAAAAACAACAACAAAACAACAAAAAAAACAAACAAAAAAATAACAAAAAAATTTAAACAACAACCAAAAAACAACATCAAAAAACAACAAAAAACAACAAAAATAACAACAACAAAAAACAACAACAAAAACCTCAAAAAACCAACAAAAAACAACAAAAATAACAACAACAAAAAACAACAGCAAAAAAACAAAAAACAACAACAAAAACAACAAAAAAACAACAAAAAACAACAACAGAAGAACAAAAACAACAAAATCAACAAAAAAAACAACAAAAAACAAAAAAAATAACAACAACAAAAAACAACAACAAAAACGTCAAAAAACAAAAAAAATAACAACAACAAAAAACAATAACAAAAAACAACAAAAAATAACAACAAAAAAACAACAAATAACAACAACAAAAGAAACACTAAAAAACAACAAAAAACAATAAAAACAACAAAAAACAACAAAAATAACAACAAAAACAACAACAAAATCTACACAAAAAAACAAAAAACAACAACAAAAAAACAACAAAAAATAACAATAAACAACAAAAATAACAACAAAAAGTAACAACAAAAACAACAAAAAACAACAAAAACAACAAAAGACAACAAAAATAACAACTACAAAAACAACAACAAAACACAACAAAAATAACAGGTCTTTGAGTAATAATCGCTGTAGCTAGGTAGGGTAGGCAAATGGAAATAATCCTTTCAGTCTAACTATGTGGAGTATTAAATGAGTAATACATATCCATTTAGTCGGCTGTTTATAAGTGAGGGGGTAGTAATCCATTAAATAGACAGTCAAAGGTAAAGCTCATAATTATTATAAATGGGGTTGGTGGGTTGGATAGGGATAACAATACCTTTAATCCATGTACTTTTAACATGGACCACAGCTCAGGAGAATGAACTGTTTCAAACAGAATGTAGACTTATTCAAACAATACAAGTCTTTTTCTTCTTCAAATGTTATTTTAAAATCACATTACTTGAACAATGACATTTAGTTTTATTATAAATGTGAGAAACCAACAATGTAAATTTCCGTGTTTATTTCAGTACATTTTAAAATGAAATGCAAGAATTTCCCAACGATTATCTACACTTAAGATCTCACTATTTAGGGGTGATGATGACGACGTGCTGGAGTATTAAGACATACATTATTTTTTACATCGATGATGTAGAGAAGGGTTTGCACCTTTTTAATCAGTAAAACAAAGTCAAAGATTACATTTCTAAAACAATGAAAGGAAATGTGATTACGTAATATTTTGTAAAATAAAAAAGTAAGCTCCAGATTACAATTCAATCACATCATGCTACAGTAATGCCATCTGTGGTACCACAATAATATCAGTGGGATTTAAATATAAGGGATTTATTAATAGACTGAATGAGTTGCTGTTGTTTGTCATTTGCATGTGAAGATGAATAAAGCTATGACCAAGGCTGTGACCAAGGCTGTGACCAAGGCTATGACCAAAGCTATGACCAAGGATATGACCAAGGCTATAAACCAAGGCTATGACCAAGGCTGTGACCAAGGCTTTGGCCATGGCTATGACCAAAGGCTTTGACCAAGGCTTTGACTAAGGCTACATTACGTTGTTAATGAGTTATAAGTAATAAGTGAAATAAATACATCATATTCTATGATCTTATATCACATGTTCTAAAGTTGCCATTACACAGCATTATACATGGCCTAATGTTACATCACAATGGGTAAAGACAGTGTTACAACTTATGGTATGGTATGTTTCTCAACATCAATAAAAAAAAATTGTCTCCAAATGAAGAAATAGGTCAAAGGAAACAAAAAGAATTATTCAGCTGTACATTAACATCATATTCTTTAACAACATTTCTACTATAGCACCATACATGACAATAGCACCATCCCAGCCAAGGCATCAATCCCTGAAAATAGCATAATCTCTATCATGGTGCCATCCCTGAAAGTAGCAAATCCCTGTAAAAAGCACCCTCTCTGCCAAGGCACCATTCTTGCCATGACACCATCACTGACATGACACCATCACTGACATGACACCATCACTGACATGACACCATCACTGACATGACACCATCACTGACATGGAACCATGCCTGCCATATCACTATCCTGAATACAGTCACCCTTGGCTGCAGTGAAGTAATACAAATTACACTAGAGTTATAGACTGTACCTTCACCAATCTCTAAAGTAGAGGTTCTTGACTTGGATAAATTATTACCAGATAAAAATTAAAATCATTCCGTTTAACTGAATTACCTGATTAAAATCAGCCAGTAAGATTTAATACAATTTTTTAGACAGAAGATGAAAATCCAGCACGAATGACACATCTTATCCGTAGCTGGATCTTTCTTTAATTTTTTTATACTTTTTTTTTTTTTTTTTTTTACATATTTTGTATTGGCAGTTTGATGTCTAGTCAACATCACTCTTATTTAGTTAAAATGTTGTGGCTGGGTGGTAGATTGAATCACTGGAATTAACTTTTTTTTATTTTTTTTTTTTTTTTTTTTTTTTTTTTTTACATATTTTGTATTGGCAGATTGATGTCTAGTCAACATCACTCTTATTTAGTTAAAATGTTGTGGCTGGGTGGTAGATTGAATCACTGGAATTAACTTTAAATTTTTTGTTTATGTTCACTCAAACAAATCCATTTCAAATGTGATCATTAAATGAAAAAGCCAAGTACATATGAGTCATGTAAACAAAGACACTCAGTATAATCTCTAACGGTAATTCTGAGTATTGATCCCCATAAACATGGAGACAAATACCTGAAAATATTTACACTGCAAACAGTTAATAGCATCAAATAATCCACAAACAAAAAAATAAATATTTTATCAATAAAGACACACAAATGAAACATATTTATATATGTATACCTGTGTATGCACATAGCTATGTTTGTTTGTATGTATGTATGTATGTATGTAAGCCTATATGTTTATAAACATTATTCGTTTTTTTCCTAATAGAGAATTTACTTCATTAAATACCATTTGATGGTCAAAAGTTTCTACTGTAAAAATACCACTTTTTAAAAAACATTTTGAATGAGAAATTGCACATTTTTGTGGATTGAAAATTCATACTGAGACAATTTTTGGTGCCATAGTTAAACATTTCCACTCTACATTGTAACATATTTTTGCACACACAAAAAAATTCAGTGCTAAAAAAAACATTGTTTTAAGTTAACTCAAATTTTGATCTGAAAATAAAATATTAAAATTTCTTTTTTGCCATAAAGCAGTATTCCACACATTAACATTAAAAAAAATACTATATAATAATATATATTTAATGCTAAGTTCTTGTGTATACAAAAATTGTATAGATAAAAAGTTGTTTATTGCTCCATTTACAAATACAAAAATACACCACACAACAAATAAAATATGCATAGGATATTTTGAGGATGGCTGGTTACAAATCACATTTTTAATTGAAAGATGTGGGTAGTAGATCCATGCTAAGAAACAATCAAACAAAATTGGCACAAGAATTAATACAGTAGCAGTTTTATATACATGAAACATGAGAGATAAATAGTTTTTAGAATTTATTATGTCTTAACTAAGTTTGCAATATTAGTATTTATGTCACTGATGGCAAAAAGAAACCCAATCTTTTATAAGATAGAAAAAGTAAATTTTTTTCTAAAAAATTTTTTTTTACAATTTCTTTAATTAAAGATTTACAAAATTTTTAAAAATAATTTCCTCTACAATGTTAGGAAATATAATCTAGATTATAAAATTGTTTATAGAAAACTATTAAAAAATCTCCTTATATTATTTCTGAATACTCATTTAGTTTTTAATTTTCTTTTAAGAATTGGTTACATCATCTAAAGACATTTAAGAATTAATTAGTTGCATCAACTTAATGTTTTTAAAAAAACAAAAAGCATTTACATTTCATTTATATTCTATAAAGTGGTTTAATTACGAAATTCAAGTTTTTGAAATATCCTAATGGTGGTAGAAAACATAATAATATTGACAAATTTAATGGAAAAAAAAGCATAACTAAGAGAAAAAAGATTAAAAGTTAGTACAAATAATATTTTAATTTTATCATAAACATTACTGGAATCCTGTCTAAAAAAGAGCAAAGTGAAAAGAAATTAATTTTACTAATCGCTACATGAAAAAAAATCCAAATCAAATCTTGAAAAAATAGACAACAAAATGCAATCATTGATTTCATGGATTTAGTTATACCGTTTTTATTGTCATAAGGCATTTTTCCACATTGATTTATCAGTTACATTTATACAAATT